TTGATGTGACACATAGCAGTGATATCTAAGCGGGTGAGTTGTTTACTTACTTAATATATAGTCAATAACGCCATAATTTTCTTCATTCCGGCCGAGAGCTCGCACAAAAACAAGAGGCGGGATTTATCGCATGAACCAATCACATCCAATCATAACCGATCATATCCAATTATAGCGCGATGGAGGCGTTGCCTCCTCTCACGTGAGTTTCCCCCATTCATTCTCTATTGCCCCCCACTAAACCCACGGCACGCTAAGGGCCGAAGTCTATGGGCCGAAGGGAGGCAAGCCTCCGCAAGTATTCTACCTGTGGGTGTCGCTGTTGGACAGTGTTACTTTATAAAAACGAGTGACTTTTATACTTTTAATGTCATATTTATTAGTAATATTTGCGTTGTTTCATTTTTGTAATATCGATTATTTTCTCATCCAATTTTTTGAGGACACACTGCCTCCCTTGCCTCCTCCTCTGAGGAAACGCCCCTTATATATACATATATATATAAACAAACATTAAAAACGCATAACAAGATATCTAAAACAAATATATATTCATATATATCTACACGACAGAGCTGCTGTGTAAATGTTTGATTTGATTTTCTGACTGAGAAAGAAAAAAAAAAAGTCAACACTCACTTTCTCCAGCAGCATTTATCTTCATAATGGTTTCAAGATCCGTCTGCATTTCCTGCACAGAGGAAGTGGACCAAACTATACAGAAAGAGATACTGTCGTTAGTAGATAGTAGTTAGTAGAAAGAAAACTTACCAAAAAACTCTGATATCTGATATATATATATATATATATATATATATATATAATAATTTTATTTATTAATCGGGATGTATGTCTGCGCCGAGAGCTGGATGCGTTCCGAGTTCGAATCCTGACTCGAGGACCTTTCCCGATCTCTCTCTCTCCCACTTCGCTTCCTGTCAGTTCTGATCTGTCCTATCATAATAAAAGGCGAAAATGCAAAAAATAAATCTATAAAAAAAGATATATATAGAATATTTGTAATAACAACAACAACATTTACATTTAGACACTTTTATCCAAAGCGACTTACAATTGGGGAATACGTAAAGCGATTCTTCTTAAAGAGGCAATCAGACACAGGAAGTTCTTGTAATACCAAGTTTTAGGTATTATTCAAATAAGTACAAGCTAGAATAGGAAGGAATAAATAAAGAGAAAGACAACGTTTCGGGTGCTGAGCCTGTGGCTGTTCTATATGCAAGCATCAATGTCTTGAACTTGATGCGAGCCTCAACCGGTAGCCAGTGCAAGGAGATAAAGAGAGGTGTAACATGGGCTCTTTTGGGCTCGTTGAAAACCATTGCATTCTGAATCATTTGTAGAGGTTTGATTGTGTTTGATGGAGGTCCAGCTAGAAGAGCATTGCAGTATTCCAGCCTAGAGATGACAAGGGCCTGGACAAGAAGTTGTGCAGCATGCTCCGTTAGAAAGGGCCTGATCAACAACAACAACAATAATATGTGACCCTAGACCACAAAACTAGTCATAAGTAGCACAGGTATATCTGTAGCAATAGCCAACAGTAGGCTACATTGTATGGGTCAAAATGATCGATTTTTCTTTTATGCCAAAAATCATTAGGATATTAAGTAAAGATCATGTTCCATGAAGATATTTAGTACATTTCCTACCGTAAATATTTCAAAACGTAATTTTTGATTAGTAATATGCATTGCTAAGAACTTCATTTGGACAACTTTAAAGGCGATTTTCTCAGTATTTTGATATTTTTGCACCCTCAGATTCCAGATTTTCAAATAGTTGTATCTCAGCCAAATATTGTCCTATCCTTACATACCAATACATGGAAAGCTTATTTATTCAGAAAGCTTTTATTCAAAAATTTACCCTTATGACTGGTTTTGTGGTCCAGGGTCACATATGGCATTTGAATAGCTGGACACATACACTACTATTTAAAAGTTTGGGTTCGGTAATATTTTATAAAGTTTGTGAAATCTCTTATCAGATCAATTCATCCTTGCTAAATAGAAGTATGAATTTATTGGCATTAGTCATTAATTTATTAAATTAGCAATTATTAATGATCAATTTACTGAATAATAGTACTAAAAATAATGTTACTAGGCTCAAACATTTAAAATTTAGGGGAACAGGGAAAATCTTAGTCAAAATGGGTGTAAACAGAATTAGGCCAAATGCAGACATCTTAGTGGTATGTCCACACATAACAGCTATTAATCAAATACCTGTCAGGCTGGACAGTACTCATCCCAGCATTGAGAAAGTATGCATGCAAGTATTTTTAGGTAAGTTCAGTGAGACACAGTACACATTTGAGAGCAGTCACTATACTTTATTTGAGGGGAATAGTAGCATAAAATTTCATCTGTACATTATGTAACAATTACGTCTGATCAGGCCCTGAATGCGTTAAATACTCAAAGAGAAAGGTGGACAAAAATGGCATGTCCAGCACAACAGTAATGCAGCTGCTCGCACCTAAAATGGAGAGTTTTGGTAAAGTGGAGACATTCACTTAATGGTGTAGTTGAGAAGAAACGTGGTCACTGAAGACCGAAAAAGTGTGTCTGAGAGAAAAGACAGAGAGAGAAGCTGCTGGTCGAATCCCAGGAGCAATACTTGCAACGCTGCACCATGTTGTCTGTCCGTGCTACACTGTTTGTTCAATCTTTTGAACGCTGTGAGTGGAAGTCTGAGGTAAAGGATTGATTCTTTAGTAGTGTTTTATCTGACCAGTTTTAAAAATAGCATCACTTCTCATTGATCCAGAAAAGAAGAATGACAGTTGGGCCATGATATAAATTAATAAAACTAAAATACAGATGTACAAAATTAACATTAAAATATTTAATAATAATAATAATAATAATAATATCAATAAAGGATTTTTTTCTTTGAGACATTAAAAAAAATGCATGCTCTTTTCACAATCTAAAACAACATTCATATGTCCATACGGTGCATTATCATCCGAGTCTTCTACTAAATACGGGGCTTTTAAAGTTTGGCTTTCCATCCATTCAACCTTCCCCCCCAGATTCCCCAACTAGAAAACCAAAAACAGACAGGGAACAGGACAGCACCCGGTGAAAACACTCTACAGGCCAGCAGCAGTCACTCAGCTTATTGAATCATCTGTAGTGTTTAGTCAAAAGTGAATCACAAGAACCTCACGGAGATGCTCTCAGACCAGAGCGCTCATCCTGCAAATGAACCAGGTACTTCAGCTTGATGTTATAACCAGCTGACCTTAAATGCAATGACCTTTGCATCTACAGAGTCCAACTGAGGGCCTTGTTGTTCTGAGATGGCACAGGCCCCGTATTAATTTACCATCAGATGAAGTAAAACAGAATGAGCTGGCTGAGAATGCTACAGTAGAGAGAGATAGAGAGCTTTCATTGAAAGGGCTTGATTGCATACGTTTGTATGGACCTGAACATTGTCAAATGCATCATATTGTAAAAGAATTGTGAACTGAATCATACTTCATGATTTGTTCAGACAGGCAACAGAAATCAGATTTTGTATCAGACTCAAATCAGTTCAGATGTTCGAAGTCTGAATGGATGAAAAAAAAACAACAACACAAACATGAAATGCATTGTTTACAAACTGGATTCAAACCACAGCCATGTGGTTTGAAATCAGATTAAAATCAGGTTTTTACAAATGTGTTGAGTCTGAATGGTCAGATCAGATCTCAATTCATTTGAAATTTTTTGGATTATTTGTTCAGACAGGCAGCATATGATTTAGTATCTGATTCAAATCAGTTTAGTTGTTTGTAGTCTGAACGGGGGGAAAAGCACATGAAATCAGACAATTTTTACAAACCTGATACAAATCACATGAATATGTGGTTTTTAAATCAAATTAAAATCAGATTTTCAGAAATGCGTGGGGTGCAATGTAACTAAAATATTGAAAGCAAAATGAACCAAAATGAGCCACTGAATCATACTACAGGACTTGTTCAGACAAGCAGCAGAAATCCAATTTAGTATCCGATACAAATCAGATTAGTTGTTTGTAGTCTAAAAGGGGGAAAAAAACCTCATAAAAAACAGATTTTTACAAATAAATATGTGGTTTGAAGTCAGATTAATATCAGTTTCAGTGTGAACAGTCTGATCAGATTTGAAGCAGTTTTTTGTTATCTGGAATGGATATTGACTACACTGTCCGAACAAATGAAGCATATGAAGATTTCTCGCAAAATGATTCTAAAGATCGGATTTGAAAATCAAATTGGATTCAAGTGCAGTGTGAATGAACCCAAAGAGCAGCAGCAGAGAAGCTGTTCTTTTGAAAGACTCTGCTGGCAGAGAGTTACTGCATGTGTTCGGTCCCCATTACAGCATATTATTAGCTTAATACTCTCAGACAACCGGGCGTCATAACATATGCATAGCCTGACGTCGACTTCAGTTTGTGATGTACATTACGGTCTAAGCAAACTGCTAGGCGCTTGGATTTTTAACACACTGGAAGTGGCCTGTGAGCTGTGAAACAGTCCCTGCTTAGGATGTTATTGCACATAATATGACCACACTAATAAGGTGTTATATTAAGGGCCCTTGCATACATAATACAACAAGGGTCACCAGAATGGCACCAGAGGGCTCAAAGCAAAAGGAAACGCTTCCTGAGACATACTGAGATACAGTTCTTGTAGAAGTGTGTAGAAGGTCGCCTGGCTGCTGATCTGAAACCAGTTTGACCATAGAAGACCAAGATTGGATGATTCCAAATGGAAATGGAACAAAAAGAGTGACGCCCCGAAGACTGGAAATACTTCGGATGAACCAATAATGAAGGGGTTTCCATGACTGCTAACGGGATCTCATGCACAAGCTCCACATGATAAAGGTTTGAAAAGCTAAGAAAATTAAAAATGAACCAACAAAAAAAGAAAGAAAAGAAAACAAGGCATGCACATATGTCAATGTTGTGAGGACACAGCAAACCTATATTGGTAAGTGCTTCTGTATTATGTTCACAAAATTCATATTTTCAGGGATTTTTTCTTCTCAACAGGTCTTGATAAAGGTCAAAATTTGTTTTAACAAACAAACGGTCACAATGCTAAAAAAACAAAAGTATCACATTTTAAACAGCAGGGCAACAGAGAGAACAACTAAAAGAAAGAAGGCAGAACACTGGTTTATGAATGGCCATCGTTTCTTGGCATAATCTGTCATATAAAAAAAGTTTTCCCCGTATTTAAAAAGCTTCCGTGCCAAATGGAGGTCATCGAAAAGCCTCTTTTTTTATATCATGTAGTGTTACAAAACAAACTTATTATTAGGATGAGAAACTGAGGTATACCTTGTCGAGAGGTTGGTGGTTATCTGACAGAAACTCTGAAAGCTTTCAGAGGAAACACGTGTTGATTTGGGTTGTATCATCACCCTTTCTGTTGATATCTGTACAGCAGCGTCACACTACACATTCAAAAAGCTGTTTCTTATTGGCATTACAATAGTCATTCATACGAACACATTAAATGTGTCTTTTTTTACATGGACGTTGCCCTTTTTTATACTGAAATGACATGAGCGCCGTGCGGAGGAGGAGTCTCGTTTACTCCTTGAATGGGAAAGTTTATTCTCCGAGCAGAGAAACGACAACAAAGAGGTTCGTTTTTGATGTCGGCTTATAATCCATCCGTCCTTACCAGAGTGCCCCGTGGTACTAGTTTATATATACACAACACATACAATAACGTAGCTGGCTCCAGGTAAACCTGTATTAAACCCGGATTCGGCACAAAATGCATTGTCTGCATTTGCTCCAGCCGTAAGTACAGGACGATTATCCAGCATGTCTGAAGCCAGCCGTCAGAACAGCAGTCCACCACCATCCCCAACGAATCTTTTCTGTTCGGTCAGCCCGCAATTCACATGCTGATATCCTCCAGTCATAGGCTGGACTCCTTAGGGGGATAGTCCACGTTGGTCACCATTGTTACAACGGTGACTATTTCCTCCGGGGCGGAGACGCTGGTCTGCCGCTGCATTTGGATCACACGCTCCTCGACGCATCCCGCGGAGAGACGCGCCTCAGCTTCATGGTCCCAACACTCCTCTATAGTCTCGCACAGCATGGCCAGACCCTGAGAGACAAATGAACGTGTTTTATATCAAGGATAATATTCACTTCATTAAAAGCTTCAGAGTAGCGGTGAGGTTTAATGATGATTACGTACCGGATGTTTCTGCCAGCACTCCCTGAGAGTGGGCCGAAGCTTTTTGTGGACCACCACCTCCTGCATGTCCTCTAGAGTGGGGTGTTGGCCCACCTCCTCCTCAAACGGAAGCATGTACTCGTCCACTGGACCTTAAGAAGAAATAAACAAACATCTCCTCAGGAAGTTCTACCATTGAGGGGTAACAGACGTTTTCAAACTAAGGTCCAGAGACCCCAGGGGTAAAAGGGGTACACAGAAAACAACACAAAAAGTTTTTTTAAAGAATGTCTAAATTTATGTTAACTTTAGACATTAGATAAATGTGGTAATGTAATCATATTTAACATTTGCTAAATTATTACAGTTTCATTTTTGATTATCAGCCCTAGTTTTTAATCATTTTGAGCAGTATAAAAATAATTTTCAATATTTTTTTTGGGGGGGAAAAGAATGTGTTCAGCTGTAAAAATGAAAATTGTGTCATCATTTACTCATTCATGTTGTTCCAAACCTGTATGACATTATTTCCACTATAGAACACAAAAGAATATATTTTGAAGAATGTTGGGAACCAAACCGTTTCTCAAAGTGTCTTTTTACATTTCACAGAAGAAAGAAAGTCAAAATCTGCCATCTGCTACTCTGTCATCCATTCAATCCCATCATGCACTGCACTCAATGAGGTCGTCACACATGATGACCCTGTCACAATAGTCCCTGAGGTCTGCTTCACTGTCCACACCTGATCAATATTGTTCCATTAGACCAGACACCAATAATCGATAATAGTGAGCTTACTGCACTTACAGTGACAGGCTTATTCAGGAGCCCAAGTGACATACTGGAAATGTGTTTGTGTGATCAGGGAGTGCTGCCAGACCAGATTAAACTCAAATGTCAATCAAATTTGTACTACAAAATAACTGATATAACTGCCCAGTTTGGTGTCAAAATGGTCTACGAGGAACAGCAGCTCACGCATACGTACCATCAGATGCAGTGCAACGGGCTGCCAGCTCCCACAGCACCAGTCCCACCGCATACATGTCTATCCTGAGGAAAGCATCTCGCTGGAAGTTGATGGCCCCTTCCAACACCTCCGGGGCCATGTAACGTCTGGTTCCCACCTGGAGCGCACAGAGAGACCCCCGTCTGGTTAGCATAACAGTTAAAAATGGAACATGTACATGTATATAGTATGCCTTGATGAGTAGTGAATTAAGGGCAAGGGTCCAGCTGCCAGAGAACTATTACAATAAAGTATATGATAATGTTTCAATGATCTAGATACACACCAACACTTGAACAAGCCAGTAATAAAACGCTGTATATGTAGTGGGGAACTACCAGCACTTCGGTATCAAGTGAATACAATAAAAAAGTATTGCTACAAGTGGTTCTACAATCTTTCTGCTAGCACTGCAGTCAATTCATTCATGGTTTAAATATGGAGGGCCCATCCAGCTGTGATTTACAGCCTAATAACAAAACAAAAAGTTGAATTTTATATTTGATTTCTTTTGTATTTAAATAAATTACTGAATGTTTACCTGAATACTTCAGACTGCTGTTAAAATGTGAAAAACTTCCATTTAATTTGCATCCTTGTTTTAATTGTTCTATTTGTTCATGATTTTATTACCACCTGTTTACCTGAACAATTTCTTGGAAAAATTTCAAGATTACTTAATTGAGAAACCCGTGAAGGCTACATGCCATGGTTTTAATTGAATTTGTTAGCATTTATATTACTATTTAACTTTTTGCACAAAATACTTTTTGTGCTCAATAGCATATACATTTTTGTTGAGGTATTGAGAAAGAAATTTCACAGCTGATATGGTATCGACTACTGACATTTTGGTGTCGTGACAAGTCTTTTATGTAGGCAGCACATTAGGTTTTGCAGATACAGCCTCTGATACACCTCCATAGAATCATATTCATATTTAAACACACTTTACAAAGCCAACCCTCACACAAAGGGCGGCACTTTACGATCAGCACAAAGCTTTAGAGGATCTGAACAATTGTCTTTCAACACTTACCTGCCCATGTGTGTCCCCAGCTGACTTTCCTGCCTCAAACCTCAAAGTCAGACCAAAGTCAGCTATACAGGCCGTCAGGTTAGACTTCAGCAGCACATTCTTGCTCTTAATATCTCTGTGCACATATAATACAATTTTAAGCAAGTAAAAAGGCTTAAAATTAGTGTTAATTTTGTCAGCTATTTTCAATTTTAGTCTTAGTCCTGTGTTGTGTTTGTTATGTCCTTCTTAGTTTTTATTATATTTAGTCAACCTTATCGTATTTAGTTTTAGTCAACTAAAAGTCTCAACATTTTAGTCTAGTTTTAGTAAAAGAAAATCTACCCCCGGTTTCACAGACAAGGCTTAAGCTAGTCCCAGACTAAAATGCATGTTTGAGCTGTCTCAACCTAAAATATCTTGCTCTGACATATCTTAAAATATGTCAGTGTCATTGTTCTGTGTCAAGATGCACCTGAAGAAAACCTGAAGTATTTTAGTCTTGTTTTAGTCAATGAAAACATGACATTTTTGCAATAAGATTATTATTAATTAACTGTAGACTTACAGCAGTATTAATTTTGGCAGCATTTTAATTTAGTCTTACTCAAATGTACATTTTAGTTATCATATTTAGTCAACCTTGTCCTGTTTTTGTTTAGTCAAGGTTAAGTCAACGAAATATATGAGCATTTCAGTCAGATTTTAGTCAATGAAATCTTATGCCGAGTTCACACTGCACGATTTTAGCCCGATTTTTCACTCGCCGACAGGTTTTGCGAAATCGCCGACAAATGCCCGACATCGGAGGCAAATCGGTGCTCGTTCACGCGAGTGACAATCACGCAGTGTGAATTATCAAAGACGCGATCTGAGGGAATCACTGACACGTCGCCGACGCCCGCAAAATATTTGGCATGCTATAATATCTGGAGCTGTCGGCGATTCACAATCACGCTGTGTGAAATGATTTCTGACTGAAAACTACATTGGCGATGACCTACAGCCAATGAGAGACAAGATACCGGGCAGATGGAAGTTCGGGGAGGAGTTATAGACCAGAATATCAGTATTTTAATAGATATATGAACAATTATATCATACAGAAACAAGCGCCTACATTTGCTTGACCAGCCACAACATCAGCATAACAGTTACTGCTAAATTATTTACCTCCAACTCTCTTTGCAGAACACCCAATCCCTGTTCCCTGCATCTCCCTCCTGCATAATCTGTTTTTCTTTTTCTCCTTGTAGCTGGAAATCTGCTCACAGACTATTTGCGGGCTGTATATATATTTAAAATAATTCCAGTCTCGCTCGAGAACGAGTCTGACGCATGCGGGTTCTCGCGTTATTTCCTTATCACTTCTTGCGTGTGTTTTGTTGTGAAACGTAGTTTGCGGACCAGACAGAGCTGTCGGCGATTCTTCCTATTGTGAAGTCATGCAGTGTGAAACCCCCTGTCGCCGATCCATCGTGCAATGTGAACACAGCAGCAACTGAATGCTACCCCAGATAGTCACGCAGTGTGAAAACAACGGCGATCCGAATAGTTTGACAATCGTGCAGTGTGAACTCGGCATAAGTCACATTTCTGTCATGCTGTATACTGGTTAAACTGATAAACATTTATTGTTGCTCAAAATTATATTTGTAATGATTGTTGTCATTTGAGAAATGTACTTTTGCATTTTAGGTATCGCACTTTCACCATTAAGCACAAATTAATAGAATGTGGACTCATAGGCCTACATGGTTTATTTTACCTCATCTAGTCTACTGATTTATTTAATGTTTTTTATTATATATATTAATACCAAAGATTTATGCACTCTCTCTATCTACATTATGAAAACTGGTAAAACAAACGAAAAATATTATAACAGTGAATTCCACTAATTCCAAATTGCAATAGCCTATTTCTCTATTAAAAAAACAGCGGTTGAGTAAGTGCATTTATTCAGCAACCACAATCACAAACAATACAGTCGAGATCTCATGACAGAACACAGACTGGCTGAGTGACGCTTTCATTTAGATCGTTAAGCTCCAGCTTGTTTGTCGCTGTTAAAAATAAAAAGTTTTTATTTTTTTGAATACATTTTAGTCTCGTCTTATTTCATCAATGAAATAGTCCGTTATCGTTTATTGACCTTATTGTCTTCTCATCTTCGTCTCATCTTAGTCATGGGAAAAAAGCTCATCAAAGTTTTTTCGTCATAGTTTTCGTTAACTAAATTAAAATTAATTAATTAATTAAGATATAAATTAATTGATAATTTATAAATTAATAAATTAATTAATTAAAATGCTCACAAAGATCCTTTCAATATGGTTTCAGCTGTTTTTGTATATACAATGAAAGTCAGTGGGGTCCAAAACTTTCACTGCATGGACCAAATAAAAAAAAAAAAAATCAATCCAATACAAATGTGTTCCCGCACAAGAAAATAAGTCATACAGTGTTTTCTCTTTAATATATCCAATGACCATAATCGTTGTTACAGAGTTGCACATTTCTAACCTGTGTGCGATGGCTGGTTTGTGGCCGTCTCTGTGTCCGGGGAAGTCAGAGTGCAAGTAAGCCAGGCCCCTAGCCATGGTTTGAGCAATGTGACACAGCTCATTCCACGTCACTACGTTTGCCTTTAGGTAGTCCGTCAGGGAGCCCTGCACTCAGACAGCACAGACATGCAGATCAATCATGGCTGTATATCAGCCTGCAGTGCAAAAAACTAAAACCTTTTCAACTCACAATAAAAGGAAAGAAAAGTATAAAATCAGCAATAACACTGACTGTGGATACTTTGGGTGCTACCATGTCACATATTTACTCTAAAATCTTGAATGATCTTTTGATGAAAATTATTTCTTTCGCATAATTGCATCCTACCAGGCATTAACATGACAAATAAAAATTTTTTCTTTTGTAATGTCCCTTGAGAACATATCAAATAGGCTTGCCGCGATATACGGTGTTGACGGTGATACCGGTGTTAAGCCGCAACACTGGAAAAGTGAGTTTGACGTTGTATTTTGTTGTTGCATTCAAGCAATTAAAGCCTAACTGCCGCTAATTCAAAAGTGAAAATAAAATGCGCACGGCGCTTTTACAAGCTATTTAAAAGCGAAGGAAAGCGAGGAAAAGAGACGCATTTTACTAAATCAGCAGCATTCAAAAAGCAGCCAATTATTCAGCAGCTGGGATTGATAATTTCATAATGCAAAATTAAAGTCTCTATTATGATGTTCAAAATTCATATAAATAAATAATAAAAAAATACTTTTTAAAGTTTATTAGCAACATTTGAAAAATAATATAGCACGCAATCCCAGCTGATTATGATAGCAGAAATTAATTTGTAAACTTTGAGAAACTAAAATAGATCTACAACGGTTCTGCCAATACTGTCCAGCCCTCATACATCTCCACACCTTTTCATGGTAAGCTGTGATGAGCCACAGCTCAATGTCCAGGTTACTTCCTCTCTTCTCTGCCCCAATGAACTGCAGAATGTTTTCATGCCTCATGCCAGGGAGATTGTAAATGTCATACTCGTTCTGCCATGACAGCTTGTCCTGAGAAAGACACAAAGTACATAGTTATTACAGCACACCGGCATGATGGGCAATCCCCTAAAAAAAACTGCACTCCATCAAAACGCTGTTCCACCAGTAAGTTGACAGCAGTAGGGCTGCTAACTGACCATTAAAACAATTGATACAAGTTACAGAGCTTTAGCTGACATTCACAGACAACTCAGATTATGCAAGTAAGCAGTAATTTACCAGAGCAAATTATTACAAGATTGATTGAAGGATGAGACAAATGATTTCCCTCACACCAAACTCTAAGCTGTGGAGCGAGACAGCTTCTGTTAGCTCCGTTTCTACTAAGGATGCACATTTTTATTTCATGACATAAATATTTATCTTTATATTTTTACACAATATTTAATTCATGTATATTTAAGGAAGGAAGTCTCTTATGCTCACCAAAGCTGCATTTATTTGATCAAAAATGGAGTAAAAACACTGTAACATTGTGAAATATTATTACCATTTAAATAATGATTTTCTATTGTAATATATTTTAAAACATAATTTGTTCCTGTGATGCAAAGCTGACTTTTCAGCAGCCGTTACTCCAGGCTTCAGTGTCACACAATACTTCAGAAATCATTAAAATATGCTGATTTGGTGCTCAAAGGGCCCTATCATACACCCGGCGCAAGGCGAGCTAGTTTCAGCCTGACACAGTTCTCATTTTCCTGTCCTGCACCGTGTTGTTTAAATAGCAAATGCATTCGCGCCCATTTCTGCGCCCATGGGCGTGCTGGTCTAAAAAAGAGGTGTGTTCAGGCGCATTGTTGGCACATTGCTATTTAGAGGAACTGAAAATAGACTGCGCCATAGACCAACTCAAACCTGGTCTAAAGTCTGGCGCAATATTTTTTCTTTGTTATTTAAAGAGCGCGTTAGTAATATGCGCCTATAGGCGGGTGCATCTGCACACTTTGCTTATTACACACACACAGGGATGCGCAGCAGCACACAAACATTTTTAAAAATGAAAAATTACATACCGCCATGTAAATAGCGAACGCGCCATGGCACGAGCGCAACTGGCTTTTAAAGGGGATGGGAGATGAGACTCTGATTGGTTTATTGCACGTTACGACCAAAAAACACCCATTACTCATTAAGAGAATAGGGACAACCCGTTTAGACCATGCGCCCGGGCGCGTCGACCTTTTTCCCGTCGTTAAACTAGCAAAAGTGGATTCGGACACGCCCTGAGTGCACCTGCACCGTGCGCTTTAGACCATGCGCTTAGATCGTTAAAATAGGGCCCAAAATCTTTTATTTGTATTATTAATGTTGAAAGAACTTGTGCTGCTTAATATTTTGCGGAAACAGTCATACATTTTTTTAGGAATCTTTGATGAATAGAAAGTTCAAAAGAACAGCAGTTATATGAAATAGAAATCTTTTGTAACATTATAAATGTCTTCACTGTCATTTTGATGAACTGAATGCATCCCTGCTGAATACTAAGGTAGATATGTGGGGGCGTGTTCGAACGAGCCGTTTTAGGTAGGTGTGGCTAACTCTTAACTTTTATAAAGAATATCTCTTTGGATTTGAGACTTTAGTCTTTGCAACTTTACAGATCTTCTTTATGCACCAAGAGCTTGTAACACTCTAAAGAGAAAGGAAAAAATGAAATCGCATCATATGACCCCTTTAAAAACAGCGCCGACTGAACACTGTTCTGTTCATATTCAGTTTAAAGTCATAGTTAATTAAAAAAGTTACAATATTTATTTGATAAATAAATAATTATATAATTTATGTATATTTAACTATATAAATATTAAACATTGACATATACAGCTTTTACAGGATAGGTTTGAATATGGAAGATGTATAGTTTCCTGTTCACATTCTGTTTCATACGATTGCATCATCTTTAGGGTTGGGTACCGAAACCCGGCACCGGTACCTATGTAACCGGTATGTACTAGAACCGAATCAGAAAGCAGATTTCGGTGCCTCATTTCGGTGCCATGCCTGAGCGATCGATTGAAATATTTGTCCTCTGGTTCTCCAAAACAGATGTAAGCAGCATCATCACCGGCACCGCATGTGAAAAAACATTTCCGACTGAGAAAATGCACGTGAACTCAAGTCAGAAAGCTCTAATAATACAAATCCAACACATATTTGTAGTAACGTTAGTGTCCATGTTGTTTTCACATTCTGACTTAAAAGCACAACTCGGGAAATGAGAGCATCTGAGGATGTTCGGTTTACTCAGTTACAGCTATAATAGCTATGCCTTTGTCCATATAAGGGATTTCCTGGAGGGTCATGAGTTCCTACTTCTGTGACTGGATATGTGGATTTTCTGTGCGAGGGCGCCCTCTGGCGTCCAGTATGAATGAAACAGACATCATGTGTTTATAGTGCTAATGGCCAATCCATAATTTTTGGGGGAATTTTTATTTATTTATTTTTTTTAACAAGTATCGGTTCAGGCACCGTTTAGGCACCGGAACCGTTTTAAAAGTATTGATTTGGCACCGGTATCGAAAAATAACCTAAACGATACCCAACCCTAATCATTTTTGCTGTCAAGTATCATAAATTAGAAATATTTTACAATACTCTCAAATTCAGTTTTGTTTAAATCACATTATGTGCTAATATTGTACATGCAGTGCACGTATATGTACTTCACAGGCCGACACATGGCTCAGCTCCACGTTTGGCTGTGTAATTGTTTAACAGGTTAGATTAACTCATCAGCTTTAGGAGCTGATTCTCTGGCCTCGGGTCCGCGTGGTACCTGAATGGGGAAAATCTTCACTGCCACATAGTCATTGAGCAGCTGAGCTTTCCACACACAGCCAAAGCGCCCCCTAGCTTTGATTTCCAACAACTGCAGAGGCTTTTGGACCAGGGTGGGAGACGGCGGCATGGGTCCAGGGTCCTGCAAGACAATAAATAAGGAAGTTTAAGCCATTGGGCTGGCTGAACAGAGCATCTGAAGGTGTAATAACTGCTGTAGACTTCATCACTATGGAGACCATCGTCATCCAGCTTGTTTCACATCGACTCTCTAAATCACAAGCTGGCAGTGCTGATTTCTGAACAACCTATGCAGTGCCATCACTAACCACCATAAGGTTATTTCAATAGGATGCGTGTACAAAGAAGGGCCATTCAAAGTGCCAATTACAGAAGGACACCGTTTGGAAAGAAGACCCTGGATTAACCCGTGACTCTTTAAATAAAACCTCTCTGTTACGTTGACTGCTGGTGCCACTGGTATGTTGTGATTCCCACTTTAAAGGAGTTAAGGGTTGGTTCATGCTAGATTTTATATTCAATTTCATATACTTCCATTCATATACATGCAAACGAAGGGGAATGGGTACACAAGCACATGCAAAGATTTTGTCTTCTGCTACACAATAAACTCTGACCTGAGAACTGGCATAGAGAAAAATTGTTTGACCAATAAAGGCTTAAAACATCCAAAATAACTTATTGGATGAAAATCAAACATGGAGGAAATTCTAATTTTGGAATCCTGTGTTATAGACACTACCATTTAAAAGTTTAGTGTTGGTTAGAATTTTTTAAATGTTTTGAAGTAGTCTCTTCTGCTCACTAAGACTGGGGAACTTTTTAAGAAGACAGTAAAACATAACATTTAAAATATTATTACAATAACTAAAATAAGTTTTCTATTTTAATGTTTTTACATTTTTTTATTTTATTTCTTTGATGACAAAGCTGTATTTGCAGCAGTCTTCAGTGTCACATGATTTACTCCAGAAATCATTTCAATATGCTGATTTGGTGCTGAAGAAACAATTATTATTATTATTATTATTATCAAAGTTCAAAATGGTTGTGCTACTTAATATTTTTGTGAAAACCGTAATACATTTATTCAGGATTCTTTAATGAATAGAAAATTATTTATTTGAAATAGAAATCTTTTGTAACTTTATAAACGTCTTCACTTTAAATTGATCAATTTAATGTGTCCTTTCTGAATAAAAGTATTAATTTCTTTCAAAAACAGAAAAATAAAATCTTAAAAACCCTAACATTTTTTACGTTAGTGTAAGACAAGTTCAAAACAACACAGTTTCAGTTCAGAAGAGAAACTGCATGAATTTAAGCCATTAATCACCAACAATAAAACGGTTACTATCGTAAAAAAAAAATTTTTTTTTAAGTAAAATGAGCACTTTACAATGGACCAAACCCATTGTTATAGGAAAAGGGAAGTGGAAAGAATGTAAGCCCAGCAGAAGACCTGTTCATTGCATTAGGATTGTAACACGTTGTGAGAACACTGAGGGGTCTCATATGGCCATTATAAATACTATTGTGACAGATACCATACCTTATGAAAAAACATGCAAATAATACTGGTTGTGGTGATGAGTTAAATGGGGTAAAGGTGGACCATGTCATGCAGCTGAACTGCATAAAGCCTGGACAGAAGGAGCTTATGGGAGTTGCAGTTCAGAGCTTGTTAAACATAATCCATAGCTTCTGTAAGTGGACCACAGATTTGATAAGCAGCTGACCTAGTTTGTGGGTGCCGTGAAAGACACTGGCATGCCATTACACCTTGAAGGCTTGAACCTTTCTGAACATGCCTTATGTAAGCAGAGACATTTAGTAGTTCATCTAAATGCACGAGTGCGCGCTCAAACCTGGTCTTACACCCAACATGACCTTTTCTGACCAATTACCCTTTGTCAGCAAAACACAATAAACTGTTTCCCGCTTATCAAATAAGCTAATCCCAATTATTCAAGTGAATCAGTGCAAGAAAGCAATATAGATGGCATCTGTAGGCACGGATCCAACCCCTGCCAGTGTGCTTGCTGTACTTGGCATACAACTCTCCAAACGCAAAGAGTGAATCCACAAATTTCACATAAAAAAAAATATATATTTTTGCAATATATAAATATAAATGCAATGCATAGTAATACATATAAAAATGAATAATAAATAAAAGTTTTTTCTAAAAAAAAGTACAGATATGTGTTATATAAATATATAATGTGTTTATTTATATAAGATAAAAATATATAAAACATTTAGAAATGTATATAAAACAACAATTTGTTTAATTAACTTAATGCCACACTGCAACACTTTCTTTATGGTCCTAAAAAACATTTTAATTTTTCTTTAATCAAATATAAGTAAAAATAAGCAAAATATAGCTGGAAGACAAATTACCCGATTACATTCTTCACAGGTGTCTTGTGAAATTCCCCTTAAAACTCTGTAACAACCTACTTCCCTTTGTTAGTCGTATGTGCTTGAATAGAGAAAAAGAGCTTCATTTGGCCTCCTTTTGAAACAAATGCCCAATAAGTAGGTAGGATGAAGAAAGACTGTCCACAGAGCACCTGCTGGATTGTGGTTTGGAGTTCAGGCAAAAGTAGGACAAATGCAGAACAGGCATGTTTTTATATGTGGCCTACATTTCCACCAACTGAACATGGGGGGGGGGCACGATTTTTCTGAACTGAGACTCCTTTGCATATGGATCTGGGTTGTTAACTAACTTTTTCCAAGTCCTCAAGGAAACAAATGCTGGAGAAAAGTACATCGCATGACTGTGGGTGGGAGGAGACAAGGTTAAAGAACAGAACATCCATCACGAAGAGAAGAAAAACATGAAACGGTGAGGACGCAGGCGAGAAAGCAAGTACTTCTGAGATGGCAATGCTTTGCTGTTACACAAACCGAGAGAGTCGACGCGAAATGAGGGAGAATGGAGGTACGGGAGGCACTGAGCTCCTGAGGGGGACGTAAAGAAAACAACCCTCAACCCTGACCTCACACACCTACACCCACACGGTTCAGGGTCATGTTTACTTTTCCATTTGCCTAAACGTCAGTCACTAAGCAGACACCAGTCATAAACATGACGACAATAGGTCTTACAGGAAGTGTTTGCCCCTGGGGCAGCGGCCGTTGATGGAGGTACAGACTGACATTTTTAAAGCATTCCTTTTCTAAAATAGAGAAAAAGAAAAACAACACAGGTAATTTAAGAGGGCTATCTGTCTATCCAGACGCCTGTGGCAGATATAGTATGTCAGAGTGCAGGTTACTGGAGTTGTTTGGTTTATTCAGTGCCTGAAAATAAAGAGACCAGTGGCAAAAGTCCAGTGGAGACAATAGTTTTGCATGTGACTCCCATGTGAAGCATTCATACAGGTATTTATTCATACCACTGATGTCCTTAATTTTCATTTCTCAGCCTATACTTTGAATTGGTGAACTGGTTTAAAAAAAAGATAATTTAAGCAATACTTCTTCAGATATGTTGTTTGCTTTCTTTTATACACAAACATTCTGTATCAATCAGGTCACAGTCAGTTTGTTTTTGAATTCAGCATACAAGGACAACTCAAAGACGCGGCTTCGTTATTTTGTGATATGTCAAATACCTTCAATTCAGACGTATTCATTCATTGATGGACATTTTTATATTGATTCATGCCTGAATAGTTTTTAATACATTGATTAAATTAAACCTTTTTTTATTAGGACTGTTAATAGGACTGTTATTAAGTCTACTATAAATATGTATGGAAAAAATAAGATTTATCTCACCTAACAGAAAGCCACCCTAAGGTCCATGACTGTTTACCAAGACTATACTTTAAGAAGAACGCACAGAATGCATCTGGGATAGCTTGAAAATTTGGGGCCTTGAAAATTTTGTGGGCTTTTGATCTCGTGAATTATTTACATACAGTAATTCATTTGGAAGACACATTTAGACCAAAGCAATACACAACGGTTTGCTGTAACAAATGGAAGCGTAGGCAGCATATATACAATGTAATGCAGAGCTAAATCCTTACAGAACTAAATGGACTTCTTAGTGCCAGAGTGTTTCTTATCAGTACTGGCACACAGGTTGATAAAAGCATCAATGTGATGTTTTGTATTAAACCTTCAGGATGGACTCAATCTCAAGAGGAATCAGGCAACAATCTTTAGCTCCAGAAACACTGAATGACCAGTTGATTTCCTTTACTTGGTCTTGGGCTGCCCAACATTACTGTTCAATCACCCTCTGGGAACACAAAGCGATTTAAAAAGGGCTTAAAAGGGCAATATCTTACACTTCTACAGCATTTTATTTCCCCCTGAGGTCCACTTATAATGTTAGTCGAGGTTTCCTGGTCTAAAAGTTAAATATCCTGGCCATAATTCAGTTTTTCCTGACCATTTTCAACTTTTTTTTCTAGCCCCAAGAAAACAGGCTGCTTTCACCGTTAGTGTGATATGGAAAGTGATTTCTGGAGAGAGAAAAAAAAAAAAAAGTATAATCTATATAATCACTATACCACTGCAGTTTTTCCTGACCATTTTCAACTTTTTTTTCTAGCCCCAAGAAAACAGGCTGCTTTCACCGTTAGTGTGATATGGAAAGTGATTTCTGGAGAGAGAAAAAAAAAAAAAACAGTATAATCTATATAATCACTATACCACTGCATTACTTGCTGGGAGGGAAAAATCCAGTTTTACAATACATGACCCTTTTAAAACTAGCAAGGCATTTTTATATTTTGCTCTTGTAGATTTATTTAGCTCAAGGACGAACATCTGTCAAGAAGCACATTCATGCAAATGTAAATACAGCTCAGGACTCATCAGGGAATAATCTTAGTTCATTCCAGTTTTTAAAAGCTTTGCCTCTCTGGCCAAAACTGCAAATGAGTGACGCAGAGACCCACAGCCTCACATCTTTCAAAGGTATCAAACCACTGATTTTTCATGTGTATTTTGTGTGTACTGAAATGGAGAATGTCCAAGGGGTGACACTGATGCAATATGACACTTTGCCATGAATCTTTCAATATGACTGCAAATGTTTTATAGGTTAAGTACAATAAAAGCACCTTAAGCTGTTCCCCATTCCCACATTCATAACATTCATCTTTGCATACATTTGCTGCATGCTTGGAGACGTGCATTTTTAACCTCAGTACTGCCATTTTACCATGCACCTAAATCAAGGGATCTCTGGCTGAATCCCCTGAATCAGAGAGGATTTCGTTTTTGTTATCCGTGCACTGAAAGTCAGAACATCACAGATTGATGAGGCAATGTGCAGGGATAAACGCAAAATAAAACCAGTGGGATATTATAGGAAAATGTGCTAACAAAAACAAAGGGGTGCTTTTGATATCAATGAAAAAAAAAAAAGGTTTAAAATGAGGTTCCAACATAATCTTGAAAAAAAATTTAAATAGATGAATGAGTCAGGCTTCTCTTACCTCTATCATTATATGAAAGGCGTGCTAGTTGAGGAAGGAAAGAGGAAATCAAGTGTTAGTTTTAGTTTAGCGTATATGAGATGGAAAGACGTGATGGGGAATTTAACGATTTCTTTAAGAACGAGTAAATGTGTTTCACTATTTTTTTTTAAGTTAAAATACTTTTTTCTACTTTCTTATACTTTAATGTGCAGAGAACTAAAAGTAAGGCATTCAGAGGTCGTTCTTGTCTGAAAACGTCCTGACATAGCAACATTTACTAAACCAATGGCTTGTGTTTGGGATGGGACAATCTATTTGTCCAACCAATGATTTGGGGATTTTTTATTTTATTTTTGCAATTCTGTTTGGTGCCACTTATGCTGTTAAAAGCACATGCTTCACAAGATAAAACAGCAAAGACTGATGCAGGTGTGGGCCTCAAGTAGATATTCCAATTAAACATCTTGCCTTATGTTTTTTTTTTTTTTTTTGACTGTGATTTTAACTTTGTGTAAGTGAATATAACTGGAAAGAATGAACCTTCAGCCCCAAGGACACCACTCAATGGTTGCCGCTTATACCTGAGGCCAAATCTGCATGTTACAGCAACTGCCAGACTTGAACAAGATTCTGAGAGACTTTACCAAATAAAACTGTCAACTAGGAACAATTCCGAATATTTCAAAAGAAAACACAAAAGATTTTAAAGAGTTCAAAGCAAAAGTTTAAAGAAAATCGGGCATAAATTGTTACCATTCAGGAAGTAAAACCGATCTGCATTCCCATTCATAGATACAATATAATATTGTACCCTTGACAGACAACCAACACAGGAACAGGAACACTTTAACCATGACTTAAAAACTAAATGACAATAAGAAAATAGTGTTTTCAGAGCTGTGGTGCAGCAGTTTGCACGTCTTCCCTCCCCATATACCAAAACATTTCCTGTCTAATGCAATAAATAAAAACACAAAGCACAAAAAATGTGAGTAAAAATAAAAACGGTGATTTAAATAAAGATAGATGTGGAATGAGTTTAGGCACATGCATAAGAGCTAAAATATGAATATATATATATAAAAAAAGAGGAAATTCTGCAAAATGCGTGCAGCTGCCTGAATGCCCTTTCCTTCCAGAAACAAAAAAATTCCCGTCCTCACAGCGAAGCCAAGCACTTAATGCGGTTAAAGCACACTGTGCTCTCTCTCCTGAGGGGCATGTTAGGTCTTGGGTCCTCGTAAGAAAACCGTTAAATAATCAAGAAGCTACTCTCTGCTTTCTAAATGGTATGAGACTCTAAAGTGGAGGCTGGGGGCCAAATGTTTCAAAAGAAGACATTATTTTTAACTACATGCTTTAAAATGGCCTGAGAATTGATGGGGAAACATTTCAATCAGAGCTATTCAAAACAATGTTCATGACAACTGCTAAGGGCATCATAAAATGATTCTCATCTATGTTGATAAAGTGGCCAATGTAAATGCACACAGCAACCACCATCAGGCCACCATGCACAGTTAAAGATGGGCCTATCTAAATGAGATGTATCGTGCATTTCCGGCTTGCAGTGTAAATGTTTATAAAGATCATATCAGTGAGTAAAAGAACTAACTGCCGAAGATACAGGAAGACAAGAGAGGAGTCTTTAACCAAATAAAAAGAGCAAACAGTAATAAATATCAAGTCAGACAGCTCTCACGTTACTCGTATTTAGCTTGAGCTGTACAAATAAGTTGTGAGAGTTTAGCTCATCTAGCTTAGCACTAAACACTAGAAAGAAAGGTTATATCACAAATGTAGCAACCACCCTGTAATAATAGCTCCTCTGAAAGTCAGAAGAAAGCTAAATGTTATTTATCAACAGACAGTGAGCAAGCTTTTGGACAGTAATGGTTTCATCACTGAAGAAGAAAGAGCACTAAAGGATTTTTCTGCACTCAAATGTCTTAGTCGATGAAACAGATTTTCAAAGAAATTACATTTCTATGCATTTCAAAACAAGCAGATTTATTTGTGGCACTTTGCGAAATGCCACATTTCCTGTCAACACGTTACAAAATCGTTTCTGGCAATCTTGCAATGTTTGTGACGCTGTAGAGTGACAGCTAGAGCCAAAATTCGGCTCGAATTCGAAATGATCGATCAAAACAAAAAGTACATTAGTAAATAAACTACCATTTAAATGATTGGGGCCAGTATGATTATTTTGCTTACTAAGACTGCATTTATTTGCTAAAAAATACAGTAAAAACAGTAATATTGTGAAATATTATTACAATTTAAAATTACTATTTTATTTTTTAAAAGGTTTTTTTTTTTTTATAATGACAAAGCTAAATTTTCAGCAGCCTTTAGTTTACTCTAGTCTTCAGTGTCACATGATCCTTCAGAAACCATTTTTCCCCTTTTCTTTCATTTTTCAAGATACTTTGATGAAGAGCAAGCTCAAAACAGCATTCATTTGAAATAGAAATCTTTTGTAACAATGCAAAATCTTTACTGTCACTTTTGATCAGTTTAATGTGTCCCTGCTAAATAAAAGTATTAATTTCTTTCAAAATAATAATAATAAAATTAATAAATCACAAAATACAGGGTTCCTACACATTTTCCATCTGAAAATTCCATACTTTTCCAGACTCAGATGTCCAAACTTCTCAGTAGATTTTCAGACCATATTTATTTATTAATCCCCTAATGTAAGCTTTTGCAGTGTCCCAAAGCAAATTGGGGGAGACCATATTTATTTAACATATATGATTCATTGAAGCTTTATTTTCAGCTTTATATTTGGTATTTAGTACAAGTCCTCTGTGTTTATTCATTGATTTTCTCGAAGTGACAACATACAGAGCCCCTAAAAAAAAAAAAACAGACTTTTGCATGCACACGAAAACTATTCACATGCGTATGGGAATTTTGTTCGAGTGCTTACGCATTACAATTTCTAGTTTTATATATACTATAACCTATTTCCTTTGTGCGTCACTGCCATCTTACTATGTAGAAAATGAGAGCATGGATGCACATGAATTAATAGAGATCTATTTGCTCAAAATTTGGTAAATAGATAATAACAAGGACTAATGTCCAATTTAATGCATCCTTTGTTGATGAAATGGGCCGATGGCACAATACGGCTGTGTGCTTTGTCCTATTTGCCAAGTTCAAGGGTCTATAAAAAAGACTGGTACTGTAAACAATTGTTCAAAATTTGCCTATATTTAGAGCAGTACATCATATTTCAAGGCCATAAGTCTGTTTGCTGATGGCGCAATCAAGCTCAGTTTCTGTGTGCACACAAAAGTCTGTATATTTTTTTTATTTTTGCAAACATCCTTTTAGAGGCTCTGTCATACAGTCCTAAGAATATCGTGAGAAGAAACCCAAAACCTGACTATAACCTGCATTTTTTAATTAATTCAGTCGTGTTTGACAATCATCAAAGAATCATTAAACAGCTGCCATGAAAAGATACTTTTTGTATGATTAATTTATTTTCATTAAATTCTTAATTTTCTATTATAGAAAACTAAATAGGGGCAAAACTCTGGAAATACAAATATTTTTCTATACTCTGCTTTCCTTTTTCCATACTTTTCCAGACCTGGAAATTACTCAAATCAAATTCCACTGCATACACTGCGTAGGAACCCTAAATGTTCTCTTGCTCCAAAACGGCTTTCTTTTTCACCAAACCCCCCCCCCCCCCCCCCCATGTTTCCATATCTCCTGCCCAACCACCTGTCAAACCCCTACAGTTTTTCTAGTTGATATACCATTAGGGAAGGTGCAAATGCAGTTTCATATTAACTAAGTGTTGTAATAGTCCATGAGGCCTTCTGACGGCTGTATTAAGAGCTAATAAAGTTCCCTACATATCAAAAACAAGTTTGGGCTGATCATGATACTCAATATCAGCAGCGCTATGGGGATGGTTCATCTGTCAGAGCTGGCCTACATAACCCTGAAACTCAATCGGGGAATTCCAAATGCTCACCTGACACTAAGGTAACCCTTTGTGCTACCACACAGACCATATATGAGCCCAGCACACATAAATGCATCTACTCTGAGCTGCTAAAGATGTCCTGCAAGGCTAAGGATAAACAGTAAGGATTTTTTTCACGTTGACCCAGCAGTTCAGATTTTGACTTCACTAGCTAAATCTATAAAGATCTATTGTGTAATTCAGAAGTAGATGTGAATCTCAACACTAGTCACACACAGGGGTAAAGGTCACCTGATTGCTCATGTCTTGTGTTATATTCTGTTATCTCGTCTTTCTGGTGGGAGAAGAGGGCACTGAAACACAACAGTGTCCTGACAGATCTAGTTTGATTTCAGCTGACAGTGTGTTTGAGCTTAAGTGAGTGTGACATTGAGCACATTAGATCCCTGAAATCACTGTCATTCACATCAACAGGAGGTGCTGCCCAGGGGAAATAACAGCTCCCAATAGCACCGTTTCTAGTGGCATGAAAATGTTCTGATACACTGAAACTCAAGAGCTACAGTGATAAGAGCAGATGGGTTTTGCAACATTGTGCTGCATGTGATTCACTGACATTAGTGTTTCACTTCAAAATATGGAAATACTTCTCTCATTTCACTAAAAGTGAATCAAAACACATGCATTAAACAGTAGAGATATCAATTTACCTGGGTAGGCACCAGAACAGGTGGATACGCCAGCTTGTGATGTCGATACATCCAGAAGGAGAGCAGGACAATTGCCGTGATGCCCATGATGGGCACGATGGAGTACAGAAGGGTACTGAACAGTGGTGGCTTCTGGGTGAAGGGGTTAGATGTTGCTAGGGAGAGAAGAAGAATGAGAGAGATCAGTACCGATCAATGCTTTTTAATAGGTGCACGATTACACTACTGTTCAAAAGTTTGGGGTCGGTAATATTTTTTACGAAGCCGTTTTTGCTCACCAAAGCTGCATTTAGTTGAACAAAATACAGTAAAAACAGTACTGCTGTGAAATAATATTATAACTTATAATCCAAAAAAATCTCTTTTAATATATTTGAATATATCATTTATTCCTGTGATGGCAAAGCTACATTTTCAGCAATCATGACATGACGTGATATGATCCTTCAGAAATCATTATTTGGTACCAAAGAAACATTTCTCATTATTAATGTTGAAAACAGTTGTGCTGCTAAATATTTTTTGTATTTTTCACAGAAATCTTTGATGAATAGAAAGTCAAAAGTGGTTAAAAAAATCTTTACTGTACCTTTTGAAAAAAACAAACAAAAAAAAAAAAACAGCAACAACAAGAACAACAAAAACAACTTACTGAACCCAAACTTTGGAACCAAAGCGTATATGACTAAGAATAACCGGGAATTGACTTTGAAAACGTTCACACAAGACACATTTCTATATTCTGTTATGAGCACTATTTACATTTAGTCTTCTGTCAGTTGTTTTAGCCGTGCAAATAAATCAAACAAATAAGGAAATATTTTGAAGGATTTCTCACATGTGCATATGACAGTTTTCATGTATACAAATATGCTTGCTTATTGTATTCTACCAGTTACGACTGTTACAATATACTGACATGATATAGGTCATGACATTTTTACAGATACCTATTTTGATCACTATATTTCTTAAATTATGAAGGGAACATTTCTAATTTCTCTGTAAATGAAAAAGCAAAGTAACAAAGTAATCAAAATCAGATTTCCTAAATGCACAAAATGTCACATTCTAAACTTTTATTAAAGCTTTTATATATATATATAAATAAATAGATAATAAAACAAGTAGATAAATAAAATAAAAGATTAATTGTATCAGGCACAACAAGCTGTTAATTATCAGTCCAGAAATATTGTAATTGCCCTCTTAATACACATATGCTATTTTGGAAACCCACACTATTACGATCTCTATTGGCTTAAAGGGGTCATATGATGCTGCTAAAAAGAACATTATTTTGTGTATTTGGTGTAATGAAATGTGTTTATGCGGTTTAAAGTTAAAAAAACACATTATTTTCCACATACTGTACATTATTGTTTCTCCTCTATGCCCCACCTTTTTGAAATGCGTCGATTTTTACAAAGCTCATCGATCTAAAAAAGCGAGGTGTGCTGTGATTGGCCAACTATACAGTGCCTAGTGATTGGACGAATACCAGCCACACCTACCTAAAACGGCTCGTTCTAACACGCCCCCACATACCTACGTCACTATTTGGGCGGCGTTATGCAACTCTTCCCAGATAGTGACGTAGGTATGTGGGGTGTGTTAGAACGAGCCGTTTTAGGTAGGTGTGGCTGACTTTTAACTTTTATAAAGAATATCTCTTTGGATTTGAGACTTTAGTCTTTGCAACTTTACAGATCTTCTTTATGCACCAAGAGCTTGTAACACTCCAAAGAGAAAGGAAAAATTGAAATCGCATCATATGACCCCTTTAATAAGTGACATGAATGTGAAAAGGGATGACATCAGCATTTGACAGAATGACTTCAGCTTGCATTAGCATTACTAAGCAGAACCTCAGATGAGAGTTTGCTCCTAATTCCCTCAAGAGGAACACAACAGATGACGGATGTGAAGTCTAGCACACATCTTCTATACGTCGCATTAACGAGATACACGGTGTACGTTGAGAATCTCTCACTGCATAATTATTTTATGTCCCACACCTTTTGAACTCGCTAATTGCATTTCTTTCACAGCAGCCTTGAAACAAGGTTGGTTTGATTCCCTGAAGGCTGCTGACAGATTCTGCCTTATGCAAACAGCTTTATTCCAAAGCACATGCTTCTATGCAAATGCAAATTCCTGTTAAGAGCGGTTCAACGGAACTGCACGAGTGTGCGCTTGAGGGAGAATAGCACGCATGCTTAGTCAGTGCACACGGTGGCCCTTGGTTTCTCTGCATCTAGTGCCAGAGATCGGATTGGGCCATGGCTGCTGGCCAGAGATGCAGTGATCCCTTGGTCTTATGTTATAGCAGAGCTTTTCCCATTCGCCTGGGCTGACCACAGGACCATGTGCGTGACCCACCCGGTCGAACTTCAGCTGAACCCGTATTAGCTTCGGTCCAGCAGAGAGAGATCTCATTCATGATGCCATTTCTTCTCTCTCGTGCCAGCTATGGACTTGGAAGTGGGTTAAGGACTCTGGATTAATCCACAAGCACAAGAAAAAAAAAAAACACAGACATCCACCCCCAACAAACCCACTCTCATCCAACCCTACTCCACCCTTCCCCCACTCAGCCGGCAGAATGGTCACACGCAGCCGTGGGGCATGAAAGTACCCGGTTACAAGGTCATAAAAAGCACACAGCTCCATGCTCGCAGAAAGCGAATTCTGAGAAACTCCAGTGTGCTTTGTGCAACTCTTCATGTCCCTGTGGGTTTTTGCATTTCATATCAAGATCATTCCATATGGAGTGAGTCAGTGCTGGAAATAGACCCATTACGTAAGCGCGAGTGAGACCCCCCCACCCCGCTACTGAAGTACTGAAGACTCTTATATCCACCGCATTTGCACTGATACCGACAGTTGTAGTGTCAAAACTCATCAGGCGGAGCGCAACCAGTAGTGCACGCAACTAAATCGGGCCATGTTTTCAAGAGACCGTGGGCAGATAATAAATCACGATTGCTGAAACGTACAACTGCCCCCCTGCAGGGAGCTGAGAGCACTGGGCCAGTAGATTAGAACCGCTGGGTCTGTATTCGCTGACATGCCTCCATCCCTCATTTAGTTAAGAGGATGTTGATGTCAGTATTTACTCAGGAGAGATAAAGCGACCAGATCAGCCTCGGTAATCTAAAAGACACGGTCATCTCTGGGGCTGCGAGAGCACGTTACGCTGTTGAAAGCCCAAAGACAGCAAAGCAAACTGATGTCTTCTATATGATATATGCCACGATCTTCTAAATGTTTCATTTTAGGATGGATGGATGAAAGCCAAACAGCTCAGAGTTGCCAAATTACAGAATCGCTCAATATAGATGGCTGTTCAGAAGCCATGCTCATGTTCAGTTTATGTATTTTGAGGATCTACTGCAGCGGATGAAGATGGTTCAAAATCGGTAATGTTACGCTTAGACATTTCAGAAGAGAAACATAATGTAAAACTGAAGTACTGCTATTTATTCAATCACTCTGTTCCCAAATGCTCATAAAAATTCAACATTATTCAGCATATATTCAACAATTCAGCCTTACAATTTGGTTTAATGATGCTAAACTTAGTAGGCCAACTTTTTGTAAAATATAAAGTTGCCTTCCATTTTTATGTACAACAAAACTGATGGGAACGTATGGTTTACTTAAAGGTAAGAATAATAATAATAAAAAAAAAAAAACAGATGCGTTTCTCCCTCTAAAACACCTTGCAAACATTCTGATAACTTTTACAGCTACTCCATGATTATTTTCAAAAAAAGATATGAATACGAGCCAATGTATAGAGTAACTAACAGAGCTTTTGTCAGTGGTGATTTGGTGGCTGGGTCAAGATAAGCATATCTTTTTATCAAAGAAATATAAAATTATCTGAACAAAATGAATGAATAAATCCAAGTCCCTAACATCTTTTGATTAAAAGCAAATCTGTAATTTGATATTTCAGAATCAATTGTTAAATTCAAGGTAAAACTATAGAAAGAAGGCACAATTAACTAACTGGAACATCTATTCAAACGCTAAATTGCACACCCATGAGATACTATCAAACTCAAATAGCTCACAGAAACCGAACCTTATCAATGTCACTTTCTTAAAAGGATATTGAAAACAGACCAAAAAACATGCAGAACCAACTTCAGCTGCAATATTCCAACAGGAAATAATAATGAACATTTACACCATAACACTTTAGAAAACCAGTACCTAAAGCCAGTTAATTTTATATAAACATCATAACATTGATAAAGGATGTTAAATATCATAACACACCGTAATAGAGAAAGTGCATACATTGTAAGTGGTCTTCCTAATGTGCATGATTTAATTAAAGTTTTTCATTAAAGTCCATAAATAACATGTAGCACACAACACTGATGTACAGACTCTACATGCACTTTACAGTTACACAGCACATATGCATTGAATTGTAGCAGAAAAAAGATTGCAACACAATTAATTCAGGAAATGAAACACATTGAAAAAAAAAAAA